CACACACACACACACACACACACACACACACACACACACACACACACACACACACACACACACACACACACACACACACACACACACACACACACACACACACACACACACACACACACACACACACACACACACACACACACACACACACACACACACACACACACACACACACACACACACACACACACACACACACACACACACACACACACACACACACACACACACACACACACACACACACACACACACACACACACACACACACACACACACACACACACACACACACACACACACACACACACACACACACACACACACACACACACACACACACACACACACACACACACACACACACACACACACACACACACACACACACACACACACACACACACACACACACACACACACACACACACACACACACACACACACACACACACACACACACACACACACACACACACACACACACACACACACACACACACACACACACACACACACACACACACACACACACACACACACACACACACACACACACACACACACACACACACACACACACACACACACACACACACACACACACACACACACACACACACACACACACACACACACACACACACACACACACACACACACACACACACACACACACACACACACACACACACACACACACACACACACACACACACACACACACACACACACACACACACACACACACACACACACACACACACACACACACACACACACACACACACACACACACACACACACACACACACACACACACACACACACACACACACACACACACACACACACACACACACACACACACACACACACACACACACACACACACACACACACACACACACACACACACACACACACACACACACACACACACACACACACACACACACACACACACACACACACACACACACACACACACACACACACACACACACACACACACACACACACACACACACACACACACACACACACACACACACACACACACACACACACACACACACACACACACACACACACACACACACACACACACACACACACACACACACACACACACACACACACACACACACACACACACACACACACACACACACACACACACACACACACACACACACACACACACACACACACACACACACACACACACACACACACACACACACACACACACACACACACACACACACACACTACACCTCAAATTGTAAGATTGGCGAATGAATTTAGTGTCCGCAGTCATTTAAACACAAACAAACAACAACAAGGAATCTACGTTCCTGTAGTTGGCTGTATACGATATATTAAAAAAATTATTAAAATCCTTTGTAAAAGGTATATATTTAAAAACCCAAACGGGCTATGTTAGACAAAACGTTTTCGGAATCCATATTCCATCATCAGTGTCCTAAAAAGTATATAACCACTTAATTAAAAAGAACATGAAGTTTAAATTTTGACCAAGGTTAATGCAAAATGTGGTTAATACTTACTAGGTGTACATGAATGTAGCCACTAAATATGAGGGTAAAAACTCGTTAAAAATTATTTAGTTAAATTTAGTTTACATTATTTCTTATAAAATATTAAGACGTTCAAGTTACCGTTGGATCCGGTAACATGGCAACATATGACTCCACGTTGAAGTTGCTAGTCCTGAGACGGTGTGTTTACGAGGACTATATGAAAGCAACTGATTGAAATGACAATGTTGACAAGTTAGGACGGAAGCCGTAACAGAGCAGTCAGTGTAACTGTATGTGTCTACTTAAGACAGAAGCCAACGTTATTTAAAATTGTTAAAGTGAGATAAAATAATATAACAGTATCAACCATCAAGTTGTTGTTTTAAATTATGCATATAAGATGAAATTGTGGTAAGAAAATTATGTGATTATAGTTAGGCAACCAACTATACATGTGTACAGTAGTGTTGTGAAATAAAGATTTTAATATAAGGCCTTTTAGGTTTCTTCAACATTTGGTACCTGGAAAATGGAAACTAGACACATGTGGGAAGTTGGGTTCTTGAAATTTTATTGTTATCGGTGGAATAGGAATGAATATTTTTAATATGTGAAAGTGTTCTTGAGTGAATAAAATAAAACTTTTGTAGTATAATGTCCATGTAATATTTAACTTACAACACTAGGTACATGAGAAATATAAAAGGATAAGTTATAAGTTGAATGAGTTGCAGGTGTATATTGACCTTAATTGTGAAAATGAAATGGTTGTGAGTGGCTCTATTAAAATTAGAATTAGAATCTCAGAAGGCTGAGTTCTCCAGAGAACCCCAACCAAACCATGAGGAAGTTGTGTGGAAGAGTAAAATAAGAACTGAGGAGTTTGTTTGAAGGGGGGATGACGAATAATCTAATCTGAAATTTAGAGGTGTCGAAAAGAAGCATGAAAAACATTAGGTATAGGGGGTCAGACTTCATGTTCTTTTTAATTAAGTGGTTATATACTTTTTAGGACACTGATGATGGAATATGGATTCCGAAAACGTTTTGTCTAACATAGCCCGTTTGGGTTTTTAAATATATACCTTTTACAAAGGATTTTAATAATTCATTTATTAAAGGTTAAAATGTTCGTTTTGAGTCGTCCTACAACCGTTAGTTACATTTTCAAAATTTATAGCTTAATTTTGTTTAAATCTCTAAACAAATTAGTTTGCAACTTTTTAGTGAAATTTTTAAGATTTAATTGTTAAAACTTTTTTAATAATAAAGGTTTAAAATAAGGAGGGTTTTGAAAGTTAACCGCACGTATGAAAGCTGAGTTATACTTGGAAAAGTCCCATCGAATGCCTATTTTGCAATTGTTTTTCACGGAATTTGTTATAATTCCGGTTCTAACAATCGGATCAAAGTTAACAAAACGTCATTTTGTTCATTTTTTCAAAAGGAATAATCTTCATTTTAGTAAAATAAATATGTCTAATAATTTAGGAGATACAATCATTTAAACAATTACATAATAAACTTTGAAAAATAAGGCTATTATCGAGCACAAGTTAATTAATAAATCTAGCCCAAGTACTTTCGCTTAAAATAGCATCTTCAGGGGCATTTCGTCAAATATAAACGAGGGATAATTATCCCTCCAGATACTGACAAAGAATGTAGCGTAGAATCTTTAAAGTAATTTTAAACTGTTTGTCCTCGTTTTAGTGTAGTGTTTTGTACAATTTTATGTCATTATTAATGTTTCCACATTCTACGCTTGCTGGATAGTTTATATTTGACGAAATGCCCCTGAAGATGCTATTTTAAGCGAAAGTACTTGGGCTAGATTTAATGAACTTGTGCTCGATAATAGCCTTATTTTTCAAAGTTCATTTATTCGAGCATTCAACCTCATTTCAATAATTAAATAATAGTATGTACATATGTATTTCTTATTATATTTTAATAATATTAAAATATAATAAGAAATTATCTGGCGGGTTTTCAGCCTGGTACCCTCGAAACGTCGATTCTACGCACCAAAAAAACATAAACGTCAAGGTACCGATTCCCTACCTACCTTTTCTGCATGTTAAATACAAAATAGGATACAGGACATGTAACTGAAGTCTAGGGAAAATAATCACTTAACAGATCTTTAAACTACCAGTCAAATCATAGATAAATATTAAAAAGGGAATTGTCAGATCGTTATATAATAGACCCCAAAACACCTACTCCAATAAAAATGCACTTCAGAAAGAAAAAACCTGCTTAGAAAGGTTTTAACAAAAAACATTGTCATTTATAAACAAGGAATTTCACAAGATTAAAGGAAAGAAATAACATAAAACCATAAGCAATCCAGAAATTATGTCAAGAAAGGATATGAAGATGAAAACAATACTACATGTAAAGAGCTTATCAGAAAAATTAAACAGGATAGAAAATAAATACATCACAACATTCAAAACAACCAAGACACTGAAATCCATTCTACCCAAAACCAAAAGAAAAACGCTTTCCCTTCTCTGTTTATATCCTCGTGCTTGTGTCTATTTTCTAGCCTTCCTTTTATATATTCTTTATATTATGCCTTTTTGCTGTTGTCTGCTCAGTTTTTTATTTCATATTTTTCAATTTTGGATCCCTTTTCTTTTTTAATGTTTGAGATTCTGGCTCTTAATCTACTTTCCACTAGGTAGTGATCCGAGTCTGCATTTGCCCTTCTTCTGCTGCATACGTTTATTACATTTGAGTGATGTCTAGAGTCAACAATAACATGATCGATCATGTTTACTGTGACCCCATCTGGAGATCTCCACGTTCCCTTATGAATATTTTTCGCTGAAATCATGTGCTGGCAATGACCATGTTAAGGGAAGTTGCTAGATTTATTAGTCTCATGCCATTGTCATTGGATACCTCATGAAGGCTGTGCTTACCTATAATTGGTAGGTATTGTTGCTCTTTTCCTATTTTTGCGTTGAGATCACCATAAATAATTTTGATGTCATTCTTTGGGCATGAATGGTATGCAGCTTCTAGATCTTCATAGAATTTTTCTTTGACATCGTCTTCCTTTTTCTCTGTAGAGGCATGCACATTTAAGATGCTATAATTAAAAAATGTTCCCCTTAGTCTCAGGATGCACATTCTAGAGTTCATAGCACGAAAGTCTCTTACGAGGTGTTTACTTACATAAATTACATAAGAGAAGGCAGTTACTTACCATAAATTACATAAGAGATAAAAGGATTACACACAAATATCTCGATAAGTTGTGCAGAGAGGTTACGATATAGTCTTACGACTATCTATGAGTTGGGAGTTGGTGTTCACATTAAACTTACATTATTCTGTCCTACTAGTTCTTGGACTTTTGTAGATCTAAACTGGTTTTGACATAATGTAACATAATAACAAAATAAAGAATGTAAAAATTAAAAACAAAGATATAGTTACCTGTATGTTTTCTTTTATCTTCTGAATCATATCATTATTAATCGTACCCTTGACAACTGGTGTTACACTCGTTGATGGTTTTTGCTCATCGCGTCTATTATATTTTCCAGATGTAACTTCATTCCCCAACTTTCCTTTTTGATCTGATTGACGACTAGTTGACTCCGACCCCAACTGTGTACATATAAAAACTTAGTAAAGAAAAAACAGTAAGGCAAAGTAAGTAACTTTTTCAACAAAAACTTGCAAATAACTCGAAAATTAAGCATTATTTAAAGATTACCAAGATAGAAAAATTATTTATTTCGATGAGATACGCCTACAAAATGTTACTCAAAGCGATTCGGAAAATTGTTTTTTTGTTATGTTATTTGTTAATAACAATTTCCGGTTCACTTGGAAAATTAAAAAAAAAATACATTTAAACTTGAAACACTATTAGAATCGGATAAAAAAAGGTTTGGTGCGGTAGAAATGCAAAAAAATTAGTCGGTTGTGCATAAACCACTCGCCTATAAGTAAACATTATGGAAACAGTCTAATATCTCGAAAATACACTGTTAAACGAAAAACAAAAAAACGGGTTTTTAATATATTTTTTAAATTTTTCGAATGACACTAAACACAACTGTTCATTTGCCCCTGAGGGTTGGGAGGGAGGCAACTTTGAAATCTTAAAAAGAACGCCTATTTTTATTAGTTTCAATTTCTATGTCAAAAACTGTATTCAGAACCATAAAAATTAGTTCGCAGCCTTCTGATACTGGACTCTGTAATTTTTCTTCTGCGATTACTGTGGCATCTGTAATAAACAGATTTTCATCACAATGAAAAAAAAAAGCAGTCCAGTGGGACTGCCGGTAGAAGTTATACTTCTATACACGCGTTCCCCGTTAAAAATCTATATGGGAGTCAATCTGCACAATCATTACATATTTAATGCTATAGGTAAGAGAGAGCAGAAAGAGAAAAATAATTAGGTATATAGGTATATGGTTCATCGTTTGCTGTATATAAACATTTGACCTGTAATAGAAATACAGTAAATGATGGATTGTATCAATATTTTAATGAAAATATATATTTTTATTTTCATATATTATAAAAAGGAGTTGAATGTAAAAAAAAATTTTACACATACTCTGCAGTAAAATTCATTGTTTATTTTGTTATTGCTATAAAAATTACAATACAGTAAATACACTGCAACAAAATTAAATGTAATATAAATTAAAATAAGTAATATTCATAAGTATTTAACCACCAGTCACCAGCTTATGAACCAAACACGTAAAGGATTTGCTAATTAGACATAACAATAACGGATTTCAAAATTGACAGTTCTCAGTTAAACAGTGATTATTTTGAAATACAAAAGCTTAAAATAATTATAAACATATTAATAAATAATACAAAACATATCACATAAATAATAATATTAATACATATTATTTATATATATATATATATATATATATATATATATATATATATATATATATATATATATATATATATATATATATATATATATATATATATATATATATATATATATATATATATATATATATATATATATATATATACTCATACCTATAACTCAATGGGAAATTTTAAATTGTTGAATTGCTGCTTCCCTAATTATTTTAGATCAAAAGTCATAAAAAACTATTTGTAGAGGACTAAATTCTGAATTAAAAACAAATGTTAAAACCGTTCTACGAATCAAATGTACTTCAAAATTTTGCAAAAATATAATAGATTTTTCAGACCACCCCTAAAAGTTAGGCCACACTAAATGCAAGAATATATTATAACGTGTGTGTTTTATCATATTGATGTAAGATGTTTGACAATTTGAATTGTCAATTTTTTTTTATTTTATGATTAAATTATAAACAATGAATTTTACTAAATACTACTACTACTGAACAATATTACTTTGTGAACAATAAATTATAATGTTTACAAATCGATCAATATAATGAAATGTACTCAGTTGACGAAAAATCGCATAATGTTGTATTCAGGCAATAGCGCGAACCTTTTTCTGTCACTACCGGATCTTTATTAATGTAAGATATTCTAAAACACTAAAATTTAATTCCATGTTATAGTTCCAAGTTAAGTTATACAACAATTCAATGAATTCCAATATACTGTTACTGTGATCTTTATTCCTAATAATAATATATGATAATTTCTAAACATAAAACTATAACAAATGTTAAAATAAAACATGAATAAAACATTTTTATTATTGCTCTTTTCTCCTTAACTGAGTACATTTTTTAATCAACTTAATTTTTCTTTTAAATAATAAATCACAAAATTTTGGCCATTTAAATCATAGATAAATATAATATAGTTGATTTAAATATTGTCAAATATTAGAAACGTTAATATGACAAAACGCAACACGTAATACACATTCTTTTCACGGCGTCTGGCCTGACTTTTAGGGGTGGCCTGAAAAATGTATTATATTTTAGCAAAATTTTGGAATACGTTTAAGTCGTAGAACAACTTTAACAATTGGTTTCGATACATATTTGAGTCCTCTACAAATAGTTTCCCATGACTTTTGGTGTAAAATAATTAGGGAAGCAGGAATTCAATAATTTAGAATTTCTCATTGAGTTTCCTATGGCCCGTTTGACGATTCACCACCCTGTATACAAAAGGAACATTTTTATTCTCGAGAGAGGAAGAGCGAGAAAATATATCTTTTGTCTTTCTCTTACTCATTATCTTACATATGTAATGTTTTCACAGATTTACTCTCATGCAAATTTCCAACGCCGACCGTGCGTATTGGCGACGTGCAAGTACTTGGAGGGGATACGAGAAACGATCGTGCGCGAGTAGCGGAGAAATTTTGCATTTTATACTGTACATTTCATAGATTTCATAAATTCATATTGTCAATTGTCATATTTCATATTCGTTTTGTTTATTTACATTTACACCTTCTGTCTCTGAAGAAAATGGGATTTAGGAATTGCTGTGTTATAAATTGTAAAAATACAACAAAAATTGTCAATTTAAGTTTTATTCGTTTCCAACTTCGAAGCACAAAGCTACTACAAAGAGAAAAGTGGATTTATATCATAAAAATGCATAAGGAACATAACCTAAATTATGCATTATTCTTGCGCCCGATTTTAAAGTCAGTTTGAAATAAATAATAAATAAAAGTTCACTTTTAAGTGTAAATTTTAGTTTTATAGCACTCACTTAGAGTTCATTTTAACCCAAAAATCAAGTTTAAGAAGAAAAAATCAGTTTGTGAAGTTTACAAGAATGCATCAAGTTCAAGTTTTTCTGAAGATGCATTAAAATATATTCGCTGTCCAAAAGTTTACAGGGAAAACATTAATTGTTCAAAACAATATGATGATATGATGGGCTTAACCTGCTAATTTATGCATTAGCATTATTTATGGTAATTTATTTTTCTTAATTCTTCAATTATTTTTTGACATTTGCCACTATTAAAGTTTTTCCCTTTGACTCAGTGCTTGGTTGAAAAGTTATTTGGTGATTTACTTTCTCAAATCCAGTTTTGATTATTGAATCCATATTAACAGTAATGCTGTAATTCAATAATATATTTATTTGTATTTACGCTACATCAACGTTTACCTTTTAATAACATACCGACATAACCTCAATCTTACTTTTTCTTCTTATTCTTTTTTGGGGCCACGTCCTTGACAGTTATCCGGTTACCTCAATCTAACATAAAAGCGCAGTAAATTTTGCTGATTTACGACACCAGGTGTCGCTGTTCCGAACTTCGTAGAAGTATAACTTCAAAAATTAGACAAACTGTTTATTTTTTCACTTAAAATCCGAATCTACAATAAAAATGGGGTTTTAAATTTGAGATTTCAAAGTTGCCCTCCGTCCTACCCCCAGGAGGTGGAGTTGGAAGGTTCGTGTTTGGTGTCATTCATGATATATTAAAAAAAATTGTTTATCAAACTTACTTGTTTACTTGAAGATGCTGAATTTCCTCTTGAAATAGAATCTGCGAAAAGAAAACGGTATTAATAATTCGCCTACAAGAAAATGAACAATGCTGAACTTTTAAAATAAATTATTTACCTGACAAAATTGCTAACTTATTTAACCATCCGAATTCAAACACTGATGATATGTTTATTATCCGTAGTTTATAAAATTTACTAAATTCAGTCTTAGGTTAAAAAACTTATTACACGTTAGCTTTTAAACTACTATCCTCCAAAAGAATATTGTCACAGTATATACAACCTATTTAGAGTAGTGCAACTCTCGCTCTTGTCACGAACTTTTATGGCGAAAAGTAATAATCCCTACTGTAAAGAGAATAGACATTACACAATTATTATGAAAATAATGGGTAGCGAGAATCACTAGAACAAATGATTTATCCCATCTCTATTTTAATTTCAATATGAAAGCTGAGTCGGATATATTTGAGTTTAGGACTGATTCAGGTGAGTTCAGCTATATACTACAGCTAGTTGACACTACTGTGATGCAATGACAAGAAGAAATCTCTATTGTCATTTATTATCAATTATGGATTCTATAATATAATTTTACAATTTACAATGCTTACTATACAAGCCAGAAGACAAAATATGGGTTTCCATTCCAGGTCGCTGTTCAGGATTATTGTACAAGTTATGATATCCTCACTTAAGCTGTCGTCTCAAGAAATGCTGCTCCCTTTTTTTTCTCTTCCGCGAGTTTGAATTGGTAGAATTACGTAGACGTTTTGTTGTGTTATCTTGGAATTATTGGTAGAAGCAAAAATGGGAAGGTAGCTGACTTCCAAGTGTTGTTCAGTGAAGGTCTATTTCTGCCACTGCTGCTACTAAGTTGTAAAGGTTATTCGGAACGGCTCTTGGCCACTGCAGGTTAATGTTTGCGAAGTTTCTAAGCGCAGCTGACAAGAATGAAATTTAATTTTTATAGCTTTCTGACGAGTACTTTTCAATAGCATGTTGTAGAATCTCTTTTGCTCTAATATTCGATTATTCTATAGGTCGTAAAACGTACCTTTAGTTGAGAGTTTCGATCCGATTTTAGGGATGTTGGCTACTTGACTTGATAATTACGATCTTTACCTATGATGCTCCTCTTCGTTGCCAAGAGTTGATTCATTCACCTTTTATTGATCGCTGGGAAGAATCTCGCTCTGTATTCGACAATTGTCCTGATAAAATATTTGTAGGTATGTAGAAAAGTAACATTATTAGCAGTCCTAACTTTACCACACAAGGCTAGCTTTTTTCCTTGATATCGGTGTTTTTTTTCCTTGATGTTTTTGATATCGGTGTTCCAGTTGAGTGTCTTTGTAAATTTGACACCCAAATAGGACACCGATGGTCTGAATATCATTATTTCTCCATTGAGCATTGTGATTGTTTTCCTCCAGATATGGTTGAGAACTTTTGGGATGTATGAATAATGTCATTTCAAATGTCACATGTCAAAGAAAGCTACTTCTCTATTTATTGTCACCACCTGTCGATGGACCCTGTCGACCACAGAACGTTTTCTCTAGTTACGACTGGGAGGTCCTGCGGAGAGTAGGGCAGTATCGTCAGCACATAAGAGACTGTTCTCAGATTTGCTGTTAAATGATGACAGCGAATGTAAATCATAAAATTGTTTTTGATTGAACTCGAAATGTGATCCAAATCATACAAGTACCAATATAGGTCACGATTCGAATTAAGAGCAATATACAACGTAGATGATATTGGTCCACTCGCTGCATTCTGTAATCTAAATGAGGTTAATGATTTGGCTCCAAAATTGAAGATTGAGTGTAATTTAGTCTTTCCTGTAACTTATTATTTTGTATAAATCAAATCAGTTTTATTATTAACTATTTGATTAAGTATTTTGCACGGTTAAGAATAAATTACAAGTACATCTTAATAGATCTGTTTTTTATTGAAACGTCTTCTGTGCTTCCATTTCCTCGTTATTCAATGCCCTCTACAGTGGTTTTAAAATATCGAGTTGATTCGAACATAGTCACTGAAGCAGATCTTCGAAGGGATCTAGTTTCCAATCACCACCTATATTGAGCAAGTACAGAATCCTATCGGCCAATAAATATTCGCAAACAAACTAAATGCTAAAGCTATGTCTTTTTTGTATCCCTAAAGAGAAGCATATAGCTGAATGTTTTTCTTACCGTATTTCAATGAGGTAGTCCCCATTTGGATTAGTGATCTGCATTTGCTAAACTTAATCTAAACTTTTTTTGCATTGAGTAAGTAGAATAAGGGGTTAAGTAAGTGATGTTTGCCTACAGTTTAAGAAATAGGTAAGATATATGTAAAGAAAATTATTATCAAAAATAATTATCTGAAATCCTAAAGAGTTAAACCTTCAATTTATGAATGGTATATATATGTACAGGTAATCAACATATATTTACCATTTTAATTGAATAACTTAAAACTTAGCAAACATCACTTGATTCCTTATCATTCCTTAACAAAGCTTACAAAATTTCAAATTTCAGTGGTGTCTTCATGTGTATTAGTTGATCCAAAGGTAAATCACTACACAATCTGCTTCTCAAAGGCATTGTACCATATTAGGTTCCGCTTTTAATAAAATTTGCGAGTTTATTAAAATAGACACTGCCACAAGCGTCTACGGCGTCTACAGCGTCACAAAATAGTCAGTTACACGCCCTCTGGAAGAAAAACCTCAACCGTTACCGCAACGCTAATTTTAAGAAGAAATAATGTCAGACCACTGATTTTATTTTATAATCTTAAAATTCTGAATATTGTCCCATATTATGACACAAGGTCCATATAAATCTCAGAAGATTGTGTTAATCAGACATTTTTGTAAAACTGTAGTTGACCAACCTTTTAATACTTACAACATTTTTTTTGTAGAAAAACAAGAAAACTGATCTTCGACAAAAACTGCTGTAAGTTACAAAAAAACCTCTAATCGTTGGTAATTTTAAACTACTCTTGATACTGTTTAAACAATTGTCATCTTTTGGAGAGGAAAGACAGGGTGAGCAATTTAATTGTACATTGTATCGAGAGTATTTTAAAATCACTTACCAAGTAATTCTTTATTAGCAGGTCTCAATACAGTCTAACAACCAATAATGGTTTATTCTCTATGTGCCATTTTGATTAAATACTTTTTTCTATGAAATCTATGATTAAAAAGATGTATCAGTTACATTTCAATTAGTCAAACAAAGATAAACAACACAAAAGTATTTAATCTGTGGAAAATACAAAATACTAAAAAGGAACAGTACACACCTTGGAGCCCTTCTTTAGATCTCTGTTTCAAATTGGAAGTGGAACCAACCATCGGATTTGACACCACCGGATTTGCCGATTTTTCTTTCGCTTTCAGATCTTCGATAGCTTTGAGAGCCAGTTCTTTGTCTTTAGCCATGCGATTTGCCAAATGAAGCAAAGGATCAACCTTTGCTATAGCATCTCTAGAAGTACTGGGTGCATCTCTAGAAGTACTGGGTGCATCTCTAGAAGTACTGGGTGCATCTCTAGAAATACTGGGTGCATCTTTGACGGCTTCTTTGGAAGGTGCAGACATTATGAACGACGGTTCTTTTTGAGTGTGCCGTGGCGCCATTTTATTAAGACTTTTCTGTGTTACACAACGAGGGAAAACTGTAACTTCAATTATATTTGACTGAACCTTACTGGCTTTGGTTTTAGATGTACTTTTGGTAGATTTAGAAGTTCTGTACAATTTTTCTATCGTCGAATTTGTTTCAGGTAGTGCGTCGTTTGAAGATTTTATGCGTTCTTTGTTGAGAGTCATCCAAGTTGTTTTTACGGTAAGACTATTTTTTTCCAAGACTTTTTGTCGAAGGTACTTGTTAAGCGCTAGAACATTTATTAGTAATATAAGTATAAGGCTTGCATCATACATTTTGTAAATCTTATAAGTATTTATAAGAGAAGAATCAAAACTTATAATACAAATTGAAAATTATACCAATGTGCGAAATAAGGTCCTACATTCTTTAATAATTGTATGCCAAGATTCTCTAGCTCTTTATGATGATTGGAGATCGAAGAAATACAATATAATCATAACATTCGTAGACGTTCTATGTAGAAAATATAAAGTTAACTGGTTGATTAAAAAAGTTAAAGTAAATTTTGTTGGTTGTAAATACAAGTACTAGCAATCGACAAAACTCTTAAATTATTAGCAGCAACGAACTGCTATCATATTCATATAATCAATTGAACCAGCTTAATATAGAATAAACAATTTGATAGAGACTATATTACCCAATTTATTATATATTTCATTCATATATTAATATTTTCTTCTCTTTATGTAGACATGACTCTCCTTTTTCAATGTTCCTCCAGCAAAATGTCGTTCCATCGTTTTCGTGGTTTTGGAAACAAGGAAATATACAACTGCATAGAGTAAACCGAATCGTGAGAAAATGAAAATAGCTTGCGACGAGGCTGACGAAGTAGTCGCAAGTAAAATAAAAAGAAATCACAAAAACGAGTGGATGACGGAAGGGATAATTGATCTAATGTACAACGCAGACAGTACAAAATACATTAAAATCAACAGGAATACAAGGAAATCCAACGTACGATAAGGGCAAGAATTAAAAACGCAAAGGAAAGCTGGATGAATGAAGGTTGTGAAGAATTGAAATCAATACAAGAAAAGGGAGACAGCTTTGGACTACATAAAAAGGTCAAAGAAAGTTCGAGTATACAGGGCGTCCTATAATTAATTGGACATTAGCTAATGGGTGATAGCTGAGCAAAATAAAGCGTTTGAGCTCAAATTATATATACAATAGCACTAAAGGCCTTAGAGACCCATGGCTTAAAAAATTTTGTTCTTTCTTCATTTTCGCTTTCCTTTATGTAATGAGATCTTCTCTGGCTCGATATGTGACTTTTCTCCATTCCTTCTTGTTATTCATTTTTCTTTTCTAGCCGTCTAGTCCAATTTCTTCCATATCTTTTTCTACCTCCTGATTCCATCTATTTTTTGGCCTTCCTTTTCTCTTTTTTGAAGTTATATTGTAGTTTAGTACCCTTTTTGGAGTCCTCGTGTTTGGCATCCTTTCTAGGTGACCTCGCCATCTTAGTCTCTGTGCCTTTATGACTCCTATTATATTAGGTTGATTATATAATTTCTTTAACTCATCATTTGATCTTCTTATCCATAAACCGTCCCTTATTATTCCTCCATATATCTTCCTCAAGATTTTCCTTTCCCATATCTCCAGTAGATTTTGTTCATTTTTTGTCATTGTCCACGTCTCACTGCAGTATGTTGCTGTTGGTTGTATAGTTGTTTTGTATAACTGTATTTTTGCCTTTCTTGATAAAAACTTGCTTTTCAACATTCCACTAAGAGCATGTACACTTCTATTGCCTGCCATTATTCTAGCTTGTATTTCTTCTTTAATGTTAGGTTTACGTGATATTATTGTCCCTAGGTATGTAAATCTTTCCACCATTTCGAATTCGTATGATAATCTTTCTTCTACTTCTACTTTAAACTTTTGTCCATCCCTAAACTGATCATCTGTCCGCTGCATACATTTTGTTTTAGTTTCATTTATGTAAAGTCCCATTTTCTTTGCTGCTTTTACTATTCTCTGTACTATCTCCTGTAGCTCTTTTTTTCCTCTTGCCAGCAACACTATATCATCCGCAAATGCCAAAACTTGGTGTCTTTTATGATATAGGAGTCCTTCTCTATTAATTCTCGCTTCTCGCATTATTTTTTCTAGGCATAAATTGAAGAGTAATGATGACAAAGGATCGCCCTGCCTTAATCCTTCGTTTACTATAAATTTGTCCGATGCATGATTGTTGACTTTGACTCTGTTTTCTGTATTCTCTAAAGTAAGATGTATCATGTTACGCAATTTTCTGCTAACTCCAAGTTCCTCAAGGGTCTCTTTTAATTCCTTCATTTTTATTCTGTCGTATGCTTGCTGTAAGTCGATGAATAGCGCTATCGTTGGTAAGTTGTGTTCATAGCTTTCTGCTTGTAACTCTCTTATTATGAATACTTGGTCCGTTGTGCTTCTCCCTCGTCTAAATCCACACTGGTATTCGCCTATTATATTTTCAGCTTCTTTTTCCAGCTTATCTTTTATCGATTTTGATAGGATTTTAGATATGGTATTTAGTAACGCTACTCCTCTGTAATTACTGCATTCTGTTTTGTCTCCTTTTTTGTGTAATGGACAAATATTGGCTTCCTTCCAATCTTCTGGTATTCGTTCTTTTATCCATATCTCTTTTATGATCTTGCATATCCAATTATTTAGCAGTTTTCCACCATATTTCATCATCTCTGCTGTTATGTTATCACTTCCAGGGGATTTGTTGTTTTTCAGATTTTTTATGATTTCCTCGATTTGTTTTTTGCTGGGTGAATTATCTTCTATGTCGTCTATGTGTTCAATTCTTGCTTCTGCTTCCATATATTCTCTTTGGTTTGACTTATTACCATTTAGTAATTCATCAAAATACTCTTTCCATCTTTCGACTATTTCTGCTTCCCCACTTATATTATTTCCTGCTTTGTTTTTAACGTATATGGGTTTTTGTTGGAAACCTTTTTTTTCATTTCTAGCACCTTGATACAGGTTTTTTATTTTTTTTTATTTCTGTAATTCTCTTCTATTTCTTTTAGCTTATTTTCTATGTGTTTTCTCTTCTTTTCTCTCAGCACCCTCTTTACTTTTTGTCTTTGCTCCCTATATCTATTCTTTGTCTCTATTGTTTCTTTCGTGATCATTTCCATCCTTAATGATTTTCTTAGTTCTATTTCTTTTTGGCACTCTATGTCGAACCAGTCTTTCATCTTTTTATTCTCTTGTTTATCACATTCTTTTGCTGCTTTGTTCATTATTTGCTTTATGTTTTCCCATTTGTTCTCAGTTTGCTCTTCTATTTGTATCTTTTTTAGTTCTCTTTCCATTGTTTCCTCGTATATTTCTTGCTCTTTTTTTGTCGCTAATCGAATTGGGTTATGTATACATTTCTTTTTATTTATTTTGTTTTTGTTTTCTGGTATCAGTTGCTTAATTTTGATACCCACCATGTAGTGATCTGAGTCAGCGTCTGGTCCTCTGTATGTTCTTATCTTCTTTATACATTGCTGTTCCTCTTTTTCGATGAGCACAAATTGCTTAGGAAAAATGTTGCTAGTTTTTGTTCTACAGGGAAATTGATTAATATTTTTTTTATATTATTTTTATGGATATATTGAAAACTATTCAACCGATTTAAGTGAAATTTAGTATCTTGCTATTATTTAGTAGGCTTAATAAGAAAATGATATTAGTTTTGCCATTGACACTAGGTGGCGCCACCTACACCTACTGTAACATTGGTTCATTAATTGGGCCATAATTTTTTTGTCCGCCCTGTATAAACCTTCTAGGAAAAAAAACATGAAATAACATTCAATTCTACACAAAAAAGTATTCTTGTTTCAAATCAAAAAAGTACACCGTTTTCGAAATAAACGTATTTTGTTTTTCACAAAACAAGCAGGTACCTAGGTATGCTGTGAACTTAATGGCAAAGTCAAGGCGTAAGTACGAGTCTATTATTAAAAAAGAATATGTGTGTACTTTGTACGCAGGTAAGAAGTTATACTTCTATTATATGACTTCAACGAAATTAATATATTTTAAACAGTTTATTTGTGTTTTATTTAAATATTAAACTAATTTTAATACTTACTAAAAATTTTCTTAAATAATACCGAAAATAAAAAAAAAAAAATAGCAAGGCAATAACATGACATGTTATGTTCCTAAATGGTCACCCATCCAAAGTTTGACAGGGTAGACACTGCTTGACTCCCGTTTTCGAGCGACAACTGGTGTAGCCAGTGGGCTATGGCCGTACAATTCATACTAAAGTGAATTATTTTGACAGATTATATCTACAAATAATATTAAGATTGCCTTTTAATCTTCTTATCATCATATTTTAATATCTATTATCCTATATCCGACGAAGACAAATTCAAAGACACAAAAATTATAAAATATATTTTTTTCACACTTTATTTGCACTGATACATACGTAAATTCAAAGATTTATCAACTAGCACATTTTTATACAAATTCACTCTCAACATTTTTCCCAATTGCACCCAAAGAAGTACAACTTCAAAAACATGAACTAACATTCAATTCTACACAAAAAAGGTACCTAGTCTTCTTTCACATAAAAAAAAGTACACCGTTTTCGAAATAAACGTATTTTCTTAATGATGCATCTCTCTCTTTAATTTTTTGCAAAACAAGTATGCTTTGAACTTAATGACAACGTCAAGATGTAACTACGAATTTATTTATTATTAGTTGTCAAAGTGCAGTGCGAGTCATTATTTGTCAAAGTGCTATTAAGTTTTTTATAAACCACTTAAGATAAAGGAAAAATGCAACGTCATAGTGAATTTTCTAATGTAGAAATGCGCGATATGATCTGTTTGTATGCCCAGGAAAATTTTTGTTCCCGTAAAGCAGCTGAACTCTATTTCGAACTTTATCCCAATAGAAGGCAACCAAACCATAAAACTATTAGATCATTGTTCGACAGATTAGGCAAAACAGGGTCATTTCATCCCAAAAACAGGAATGCTGGAAGACCGAGAGTAATTGATGCGGATATGGAGGATGAAATTGTTGTGCGTGTTGCAGAAGATCCAGAAACCAGTACAAGGCTTGTTTCTGCGGCCACTGGTATAAGCAAATCTACGGTGTCAAGAATAATACGGACAGAAAATCTGTATCCGTATCGTTTTACTCCAGTACAGAATCTTTTACCACAGGATTTTCCAGCAAGGCTCCGATTTAGTCAGTTTATGATGGGGCGGCATTTAGACAATCCAATGTTTTATAATAAAATTTTATTTACCGATGAAGCCACATTTACTAGAAGGGGTGTATTTAACTGGCGCAATAGCCATACCTACGCGACAGAAAATCCTTATGCATTTTAAGAACATCATTTTCAACACGAGTTTTTCCTCCAACTAGCCTTGACGGAGTAACGTATCTAAATTTTTTGAGAAAAGATTTACCAACTCTTTTAGAAGACATACCTCTAAATTTGAGACGGAACTCTTGGTACATGCATGATGGTGCACCACTACATTATAGTCTAGAAGTTAGAAATTATCTAGATGAAATTAATCCTCAAAGGTGGATTGGTAGCGGTAGTGTATACCCATGGCCAGCACGCAGTCCCGAACTAAATCCCCTAGACTTTCACTTGTGGGGCTACCTAAAGTCACTTGTTTATAAAAAAATAAATAACCGTCAAGAGTTATGGCAAAATATTGTAGAGGGAGTTAACGTAATTAGAGCCCAAAGAAACTCATTATTTAAAATAAGACAAAACTTACACAAAAGATTTAGATTATGCAGTTTATCTAATGGTGCACATTTTAAACACTTATTGTAATTTTTTTTCGTTTTGTTTTGAATTATTCACTTTCTTAATTGTTTTATATTCACTTCATTGTTTAATTTAATTTCTGATTTTTTTTAAATTTGTTACTGAGTCAAAGGTTTAATAAAAATAATTGGTTCAATCATATGCATTTTGATTGCAAAAATTATCTACTACGAATACATTTATTATTCACTTTTATTTAAAACCTTTTGAATAATGTTTGAATTTACATAAGTTTTTGTAAAATTTTTTTATTTTATGCACGTCTCTAAAAAATACGTTTATTTCGAAAACGGTGTACTTTTTTGATTTGAAATAAGAATACCTTTTTTGTGTAGAATTGAATGTTATTTCATGTTTTTTCCTAGAATGTTTATACAGGGAGGGAAAAAAATTATGGCCCCATTAATGACACAATGTTATAGTAGGTGGCGCCACCTAGTGTCATCGGTAAAACTAATACCATTTTCATATTAAGCATACTAAATAAGAGCAAGATACCAAATTTTACTTAAATCGGTTGAATTGTTTTTAATATATCGCTAAAAATAATATAAAAAGATATTAATGAATCACCCTGTAGAACGAAAACTAGCAACATTTTGCCTAAGCAATTTGAGCTCAAACGCTTTATTTTGATGTCAGCTATCACCCATTAGCTAATGTCCAATTAATTATGGGACACACTGTATAAAATCAACACCATGAGACTCGCCTGAAGAATGATCAAGGAAACTACGTTCATACAGAGGAAGAACTAGCTAAAATCTGGGCAAACTATGCTTCGTCCCTCTTTGCGGATAATAGACCGAATCTGCCAACTACTAACTTACCCACGGAAAATATATCCGGCCCTTCCATTATTCGCGCCGAGTTGGAGTACGCTATAAAAGTAGCAAAAAAAAGGCAAGGCCCCTGGACCGGATGAAATTACTACGGAAGCCATAAAACTGTTGCAAGAAAGTTAAGAAAGCTAGAAGTTTTAAGCGGTAAGACACAATTTGGTTTCAAGAGCGGACTGGGTACATGTGAAGCAGCTTTCTGCTTGAATACGCTTGTACAAAACTGCATGGATCAACGAAAGGATATAGTCATAATATTCCTCGATTATGAAAAAGCGTTTGACACCGTAAAACATAACGCAATGATAAAAATGCTACACAATGCTAACATTGACGAAAAAGATACGAGTTATCCAGAATCTCCTATCCAGAATCCAGAATACTGGAATCAAAAAGCACGAGTGAGACTGAACAAATCAACTAACACAGAAGAATTTGAAATTTTAGAGGGGTACGACAGGGGTGTATTTTGTCCCCTATGCTCTTCAATCTCTATGTGGAAACATTTTTGCAGAGGTACTAAATGTGTAATAAAGGTAAACGGGTTCCCGATAAATAACATTCTTTACGCCGACGACACCACGATAATAACAAACAACTAACATGATATGCAGTTGATGTTTAGCGGCAAGTAGGTAATGTTCCAATCTATCAAGTGAAAACATTTTTAAATATTTGGGAATGATGATGAATGACCAATGGGATCCTAAAACAAGAAATAAAACCGTACCGAACAAGCAAGACAAGCGTTTATCAAATTTAAGCCGCAATCTTTCTTTCAATCTCCGCTACAGGATCGTTAAATGCTATGTATGATCCATACTGTTATACGGCATGGAAACATGGATCGTAAGGGTACATTCCATTAATAAGTAGCCTTCGAAATGTGGACGTTGTGAAGAATGTTCCGCATACTATGGACAGATAGGGTGAGAAACTAGGGAGTCTTAAGAAATGCAAATACTGAGAGAGAACTACTCAATTTGATCAAGGTACGAAAAATTGGATACCTCGGCCATATTCTGAGAGGAAAAAAATACGCAATCCCTCAACTAATCATCCAGGGAAAGATTGAAGGCAAGAGAGGAGTAGATTGCAAACAAATGTCGTGACTACGGAACATAAAGAACTGGACAGGCATAAATAACACTGGCGATTTTTGCGTGCCGCAAAAGGCAGACGTCTGGCCTTAAGATAATTCGCCAAAGCACTATAGGTGCACGGCACTATAAGAAAAAGAAGGAAGAAGAAAAAGGGTGCGACCTCAACTCAGATATTTATTTATTTAAAGAAGATTGAAATAAGGGGATGGAAAAGACAGACGCTCGACAGGGAAGGTTGAAAAAATATTTCGAGCTCCCCAGAGCAGGTCAGAGCTCACAAAGGGTTGTAGCGCCAACTGATACTGATGATTTATTGTCATTCTGCTTATATCATCGTTCCATTCTACTAATCTCTTTCTAACCCAGTCCTTGACATTCTCCACTTTGTATCTCCGTCGTATATCAGTAATTCATCATCATCATCATCACTGGCTCGACAACCCTTTTTGGGTCTTGGCCTGATCAAGGATTCTTCTCCATTCTGACCTTTTTCGTGCTTTTTTTTCCAGTTTTTAATTTTTAATGTTGTTATATCATTTTCTATTTGTTCTACGTATCTCAGCTTCGGTCTTCCTCTTGTTCTTTTTCCTACTGGCACTTGTTTGAATATTTTGTTTGGTATTTCGCCTTCTTCCATTCTTTCCACATGTCCAATCCAACGTAGCCTTGCTATTTTAATGAATGTTATGATATCCGGATCCTGGTATATGTTGTATAGTTCAAAGTTATACCTTCTCCGCCAAATCCCGTTTTCTTTTGTGCCATATATGTGTCGCAAGATTTTTCTTTCAAAGGTGGCTAACAACGTTTCCTCCCTTTTAGAGAGTGTCCATGTTTCTGAACCGTATGTGAGTACCGGTCTTATTAAGGTTTTGTATATTTGGCATTTTGTTTTTCTGGAGACGTTATCTGATCTTAGTTGCCTAATTAAGCCATGGTAACATTTATTGGCAATAAATATTCTCCTCTTCACTTCCTCTGCAACGTTGTTATCAGACGTAACTAGGGATCCTAAGTATGTAAAGTTTTTTACCGCCTCAATGTTGTATTCTCCTATTGTTAAATTTGGCAGCTGCCTTATTTGTGCGTTTTTATTTGCAGGCATATATTTTCTTTTTGTCTGATTGATTTTAAGACCACTATTTTTTGCAGCTCGTTCTATTTGAGTGAATGCCTCTATCATTTCTCTTCTTGATCTTGCGATTATGTCAACATCATCTGCAAATGCTAGTACTTGCACGCTTTTATTAATTATTGTTCCTCGGGTATTAACTGTTGTGTCTCTTATTATTTTTTCAAGTATGATGTTGAATAATATGCATGATAGAGCGTCTCCATGGCGTAGTCCCTTCTTCACATCTATTGTTTCCGTTAATTCGTTTTGTATCCGGATTTTACTTTCTACTTTTAGTGTTTCTTTTATCAATTCTATTAGCTGTGTTGGTATATTAAATTCTTTCATTGCTTTTGTTAGGAATTCTCGGTTTATATTGTCATATGCGCTTTCGAAGTCTATGAAGAGATGATGTGTGTCGATGTTATATTCACTTGTTTTTTCAAGGATCTGTCGCAGAACAAATATCTGGTCTATTGTTGAATTCTGTCTACAGAAGCCACATTGGTATTTGCCAACTATTTTTTCAGCGTATGGTCTAAGTCTTTCATACATTACGTTGGACATTATTTTGTATGCCGCATTCAACAGCGTGACTCCACGGTAGTTTTCACATTCTAACTGGTTTCCTTTTTTATGTAGTGGTACAATAATGCCGCTATTCCACTCCTTTGGTAGCTGTTTATTCAACCATATCTTTCTTATCAGCTCATGTATGGCTTTAAGTAATGCGTCTCCTCCTTCTTTCAGTAGCTCCGATGATATTTGATCCGATCCCGGTGATTTATTGTTCTTTAATTTGTCCACTGCTGTTCTAATCTCTGCTATTGTTGGTGGACTCTTTTCTCTGTTGTCTACTTGGTCTAATGGTATATCAGAGTTCATCTCCGTCCTATTCACCCCAAGCTTTTCCTTAAAATGTTCTGTCCATCTTCTAAGTATCTCTTGCTGTTCTGTCAATATATTACCCTCCTTATCTTTACACATCGTTGTTCTCGGTTTGAACTCTTTTCTGCTTTTGTTGAGTTTCTGGTAAAATTTTCTTGTCTCTGTTGCTTTACTTAGTTCTTGTAGTTCTTGAAGTTCTTTGTTGATATATTCTCTCTTCTTTCTTCGGTGAATTTTCTTTTCTTCTTTACGTAGTTGTTTATATTCTTCCTCTGCTTGTCGGGTTCTGTGCCTCTGTTGCATCTGTAGATATGCTCTGTTTTTTCTTTCTGTTATAGTTTGACATTCTTTGTCAAACCAGTGATTCGTTCTTGTTCTTCTTTCTTTACCTGTAATTCTAGCTGCCCCATAATGTCTAACAATTTTCATATCTGCTGTTTCTAGTATTCTTTTGGTTCTTTCTGTACCGGATTCTGTTGCTGCCGCGTTTGTTATTATTGGTATAATGACTTTTTTGTAAATTCTGCCTTTCACTTATTTCCCAAAATTTTTATTCCACCAAATTCTTCGATTCAGGCATGCTGCAGCTTTGTTTGCTCTATTTACTTGATCTTCCACTTCTGTTTCGAGCTTTCCGTAGCTAGACAGTATGATGTCCAGATATTTATCCTCCATTACTTGTTCTATTATCTGCCCTCCACCTAAACTTCACATCTTAGTAGATTTGCTCTTATAACCATTCATTTTGTTGAAATTATCATATTTAATGTTATGGCAGTTATGGTATTGGTGAAGCATACTTTGTAAATCATCTTCACTTTGATAGATCAGGATTACGTCATCTCCATAGAAGAATATGTTGATACCCTTTTTTCGTTCTTACATTTTTTATTATCTCATACAAGATCAGGTAGAAAAATAAAGTGCACAGAGAATCCCGCTGTCTTATCTCATTATCGGCCACAATTGCGTCGGGTTAGTTCTTCTTCTACTTTTTCTTTCATTGTGTTATTCTGGTATACATTGTTACACTTCTTTCAAATAACTTTATTTAGATACTATCTTGTGTACAATGCTCCAACAGAATTACAACTATAAACTTCAAAAACTCAATTACAACTGTTCGTAAACTGTCAACTTCCTCTGTTTATTACAATTTCTGACGTTCCCAACTTCACTAGACATTTCAGGATTTCGATGGTATCTCGAATATTCTAGAATTTTAATAATTCTTCATTTTCGTCAAGGGGATTTTTCTATGTGAGATAAATCTTGTGGAACTTTCGTAAAAATATTTTCAATTTTTTTAATTATCTCTTGCATACAATAAGTGAATAACATCCTTTAACTTGACCATGTCCAATGCTTTCCACAAATCCACAAAACATAAATACGCCCGTTTGTTGTATACTTGCTTCATTATAAATATAGCGTCGCTTCTAGTGTTATAACTTCATCCAGTTCATTGGTTATCACTTTGGCTGTTAATTTCAGTGTTGTCTTTAATAGGTTGATTCGTCTGTGGTTTCCGGATTTGATTTGTCCCTCTTTTTGAAGAGGATCAGGATGTTTGACCTCCATTCTTGTGGTATTTTGATTTGATCTATTATTTTTTGGATTCGTTTTAATAGTTGTTTGGCCAGATCTGGTCCTCCGTACTTTTAGTTCGATCGGTACTTTGTCCTCTCCTGGTATTTTTCCATTTTTGAATTTACTTAATGATTCCTGTATCTCTCTGATACCCCATGTTTATTGCTTCGTTTGTCGTCACTTCTGGTATTGGTGTATCATTATCGCCACTTTTAACAAATAGAGATCGGAAGTCGTGTTCCGTTTTGAGAAGCTGTTGTGTTTTGTTGTAAAAAGGCTTTCTTCTTTTGTTTACATTTTGTCCCCACTTTATCTCTGACGAATGGGGTTTTCTTTTTGATATTTTACTGTTCGTTAATTTTAACTCCGTAAGTGCTTTTGTAGCTGCGATAATTATTTTATTTCTGAGTTCTTCCTAGCTTTCCTTGATGTTATCGTTGTCTAATATGCAATTCTCAGCAATAATTGTTGACATTATTTTTCTGTATATTACGATTTTTATCTCTGTTGGTTATAACATAATCTGCCATGAACCTTTTTCCAGAATTGTTATCGAGTATATATTTGACTTGGACCTTGCGGTCAAAAGATGTGTTGATTCTAAATAAATTTGCGATGATCAACAAAATATTGCATTCTGTTGTTTTTCAATAATTTTTGAGCCTGTATCATCACTATATGTCAAATGGAATATTTTTCACATACATGGTATTTTTATTTTACAATCATCTATGTCTAAGAATGCTTCAAACAAGATTTACAAAATGTTTCATTCTTACGTAGTCAAAACAATACTTACGCATTTTTCCTCTATTTG